AAAAAAAAAAAAAAAAATAGCCAGGCGTTGTAGTGGGCAGCGTGTACTTGGGAGGCTGAGGCAGGAGACTCCCTTAAGCCCAGGAGTTGGAGGTTGCTGTGAGCTGTGATGCCACAGCACTCTACCCAGGGGGACAGCTTGAGGCCCTATCTCAAAACAAAAACAAAAACACGAACAAAACCCCCCACTAACCTTCTTATTATGGCTTATGAGGTTCTATCACAAGATTTTAACCTTTTATTGAGCCGTGCACCCCTTTGGTATCTGGTTAACCCTGTGAACCCCTTCTCAGAATGTTTTTAAATGTGTAAAATAAAAAATTGATAGGGTTACACAGGAAACAATTCCATTGAAATTCACTTATCAAACTGTTTTAAAAAAACAAATTGTGATAGACAAAAATGTGTGAGCCTTTACCAATACAATCAATACCAGGGTCTAGTGGTGGTTCTGATAACTTTTGGGATTTTGAAGCTGTGATGAGTATAAATGATGCTGATATTTCTGCAGCAACTATAATGTGACATGAAAACATCTGTGATTTCTATTGAACACAGACTTACAGTTCTGATATTACTAAGTTGTGCTTTAGCCAGAGGCTATTAAAAATTAAGATATAGCTTTTTTTTCTCCATCCGAACTCTCCAGACCCCCTGACTTCCCAGCCCCTGATCCCTCACATTATTCGTATCTCTGAGCATGGAATACCAGTTTGTCTTCTCCCACTCGGAAAACCCGTTGCCATCCGTTAATTTTCTCTCTTTCTTTGTTTTCCGCACCTAATCACTTACCATCTCCTGCGAATTCTACTTTGCCGAATCACTCCCCAGTCTGCTGCCACTGATTCCACTCCTTTGCCGTCTTACCAATACAAGGCAGACACTGTTATCTCAGGTTTACAGATGAAAATGAAGCACAGTTATGCAATATGGCCAAGGTCAGCACAGGGGCCAGATTTTGAAACAGGAGGTCACTCTCCCAGCCTTTGGCCTTGAGTTCCTCAAGAAAAGATATTGTATCCATTAGCTGACTCCCAAATCCAAGACCCCTGGTCCAGTTTTATCACAGAGTTCTATTCAAAGGAAAAAAAACTCTAGCACAGAATAATGAAAAGAAAATGAATGAACTTTAAGTACAGTTATTTGCTAAATAAATAGCATGGGCTTCCATCTAATCATTGAAACATGTTTTTCCATCATACTTGTCTAGTTCTTATTCCCTCCCCTCCCCCCAATCTCTACCTATGTTCTTTTTTCTCTAAGCTCCTGAAAATAGGTTTTCTCAGCCATCATGACTCTGTCCCCTTTAGACTTTCTTAGATTCCTTCTTTCTGGGTTCTTTTGGTTTTTATTCCTTCATTCGTTGTCACCCAGAACTTGTTCCACAAAAGAAATCTTGCAGATGACTGACAAATCATAGTCCCTCCCCCTAGAGGAGAGGGGATGGGGGCAGGGGAAGGATGACAGTCATACCTTTTCTTTTGATTCACTTTTTAATGTTTTGCCCTTTGATCCTTTTTAATATACATTATGATACATAATCAGCTAAACTGCCTTAAAGAGCACAAATTGAACATGGATAGCTCGATTAATTATTATGCCCCCAGAAGAAGACAGAGCATAGCCAGAATCCCTGAAAGGTTCCTGTCCATCCTCCCATCAATAGCTACACCTCCCACAATGGGAAATACGAGTCCCTGTCCCAACAGATGGGTTCTGTCAATTTCCAAACTTTATAAAATGGACTTTTATGCAGATACTTTTATGTCTGACTTACTGAACACCATTCCTAGGTAGCAGAGAGAACTCTGTTGACTTCTCAGTGTTGCGTGGTATTCATTACACCCATGTCCACAATTTCTCCACCCTACTCAAGACAGACATTTTGGTTGTTTCTACTGTTTAGGTTGTTAATTCTACTGATTGTTATGAATAGAGCTGCTTTGAGCATTCGTACCTGGGCAAAGCCTCTTGTTTCTCTTGGGTGTGTGCCCTGGACCAAAATTGTAGTTTCAGGGCATAAAGGTTGTGTAGCATTAGGAGTCATTGGCAATAAGATTGAATTTCTCTTATGCCTGTCTTAAGTCTGAATATGCTTCACCTCGTAACACTCTTCTTTCTTTGTAAGCACTTAGTTCAATTGATTGCTGTTGAAATATAGACATTTTGGCCATTGTCCTCCAGTGAATTAACTTGTGTAGAAATGTACCATTTTTCATAATACTTTCTCTTTGTTTATATAGATCATTGATCCCTTTGTTGAAGTTGAAATTATTGGATTGCCAGTAGATTGTTGTAAAGACCAAACCCGAGTGGTGGATGACAATGGTAAGATGATACTGTGTTCATTTCTAATGGGGGTGTTCTGTAAATAGAATTTGCATATCTGGAAAAGAAAGATGTGTCTATGTAGAAAGCAACAAGCCTGTAAAATTCGTGACTGCCATCTGAGTTTATGTTAAGGACTTCTCAACACATAAGACTGAGTAACTGTGGGGTTGATGCCTGGTATATTTTGATGGTTTTATAATCCAGGCTCTCCAGATGAAGCAAAAATTCTTTTTAGTGAAAAGAATGAATGAGATTTTCAAGAAGTGGGTTAAAATTTGCTCAGGAAAATGCCTTCATTGTATTTTTATATTGTGGTTTTTCTTTCTTTTTTTTTTTATTAAATGATAGCTGTGTACATTAATGCAGTCGTAGGGTACAGTATGGCGTTTTCATATACAATTTGAAATATTTTCATCAAACTGGTTAACATAGCCTTTATGTCATTTTCTATTGTGTTTTTTTTTTTTGAGACGGAGCCTCAAGCTATCCCCCTGGGTAGAGTGCCATGGCATCATGCTCACAGCAACCTCCAACTCCTGGGCTCAAGCGAGTCTCCTGCCTCAGCCTCCCAAGTAGCTGGGACTATAGGCGCCCACCACAATGCCTGGCCATTTTTTGGTTGCAGCCATCATTGTTGTTTGGCGGGCCCGGGCTGGGGATTCGAACCTGCCACCTTAGGTGTATGTGGCTGGCGCCTTAGCCGCTTGAGCCACAGGCATCGAGCCTATTGTGTTTTTTTAACGTGAGTTTTCTCAAAGTATCATTCATGAAGTCTTCGTGTCTTGATAATTTCTCATTTTTTCTGGAGCATGTAATCTCTAAAGATGCAATGTGGTAAGGCAGATTTATTTCTTGAATATTCACATGTAGTGAAGGGGCAGCATTCTTCTTATATTTTTGCCATAATATAAAGAAAGATTTCTTCTTCTTTTTTTTTTTTTTTTAGAAACAGAGCCTTACTTTGTTGCCCTCGGTAGAGAGCTGTGGCATCACAGCTTATAGCAACCTCCAGCTCTTGGGCTTAGGTGATTCTCTTGTGTCAGTCTCCCAAGTAGCTGGGCCGACAGGCACCTGCCACAACACCCAGCTATTTTTTGTTGCAGTTTGACCAGGGTCGGGTTTGAACCCACCATACTCACTGAGCCACAGGCACCGCCCTAAAGAAAGCTTTCTTGACAGTCGCAGTGGCTCAGGCCTCTACTCCCAGTGCTCTAGGGGGGCAGGATGGGTGGATTACTTGAGCTCAGGACTTAGAGACCAGACTGAGCAAGAGCGAGACCCCCATCGCTACTAAACATAGAAAAACTAGCTGGGAATTATGGTGGGTACCTGTAATCCCAGCCACTTGGGAGCCTGAGGCAAGAGCATTACTTGAGTTTGAGGTTGCTATGAGATACAAAGATGTCATGGCACCCTATCCAGGGCGACAGAGTGAGACTGTCTCAAACAAACAAACAAACAAACAAACAAAAAAACACAAGGGAAGAAAGCTTTCTTTGCTCAAACCAGGCCTTATATCCTTTTCTCAGTGATCTTCTGAAACGTGTTTGTTTGCACTATTAACAAACATTATGGTGTACTTGTTTTTCTCAATCCTAGTCACTAATAGTCTAAAATAAATTTAAACAGCAATCATCGAAATGAAATTAGGAATTCCCAGGAAAACTTTGAATGAATATAAGAGTGCCAGAGTAGGACAAATTTATCACTCAGAAAATAATGTGCTCAAAGAAAGCAGCCTTCTGATGTTGGATTTTCCCAACAGTGTGCAATAGATGATCCTTTCTGTGTTCGGTTTCAGAAGTGAGTGAGAGGTCATCACTAAGCCAACAGAAAGATCCTCTCTCGTGGATCTTAATTCATTAGCTTGGTCTTCTTCATGGGGTTAAGCGGTTGAGACCTGAATACATACATGGAATAAAAACTTTCATTTTTTTAGAAAGGAAAAACAGAAACTTTTGAACTACTTGAATTTTTATCTGTTTTATAATTATTTTTTCTGGGAATTTTACACAGAAGTTAATATATTTTTGTATGCTTTTTCTATTTATTTTCAGTAGCTATAACAATATATCATCATTCAAGAAAAACAAAAAAAAAGCAAAGGATAAAAATATATCATCATTCACATGGTACAGCCTTACTTCACAAGGAGCCACTGGGAATCAGTGGTGCACAATCTAATTTGTCCCTGCCACTAACTGTGAGGTCCTCTGTGACCTCAGGCACATTATTTTCTATGAATATCAATTTTCTCTATGAAAAGATGAGTTATAAGAACTAATATTTCCTACTTTATAAAAATGAGCATGTGTTACTTACATAATTTTTAAAGTTACATATTTTTGAAAATTAGTAATATAGATTTTTTTAATTTAAAGAAAATAAAAATCCTGCCCGGTCTCTGTGAGAAAATAGATGTAAGAATTAAATAGGATGGTCTATGGACAATGTGTTGGGATCTGAAAATCACTTCATAAAATGGTTGTTAGTGATTATCACAGCAGCAGAATCTTTGGTGCATGAGAAGCATAATTCCGTGGTAGGGGAACCTTCTTTATCATTATTGCCAAAACATCATTCTTACATTACTACGGTAGATAATTTTTGAGCTTACGGAAGCATTCTGAATATTAGCTTTCTCTTTAATACAGTTGGATACCAAAGATTAATAGAATCGATGTGATAATTTACAGGCAATTCTCTTACCAATTATTTGCTGGCAAGGGGGTAAATTCTGAGGCTTTATTCCGCCGAGGCGTCCTGGAGTGGCTCAGTCGTCTTTATGAGTTTAATAACCATCACAAGCAATTTTTACTGTCTCCTTTGCAGATGTTGCTGCCAATTCATTTTCAGCCAAGCTCTAAGCTGTTCTGATTTCTCTTTTCCTGTTTCTCTAAGGATTTAACCCTGTGTGGGAAGAAACCCTGACATTTACCGTACACATGCCAGAAATAGCTTTGGTGCGATTCCTCGTGTGGGACCATGATCCCATTGGACGAGACTTCGTTGGACAAAGAACTGTGACCTTCAGCAGCTTGGTGCCTGGTAGGTCTGAGCTGGCCTTTTGTCTCCAGGCTGACCATTCCTTTTTTTCTGTAAGATTTAATGTAGGAGGGGTTGGGCATGGTGGCTCATGCCTGTAATACTAGCACTTTGGGAGACAGAGGTGAGAGGTCAGGAGTTCCAGACCAGTCTAAGCAACAAGAAGACCCCATGTCTACTAAATATAGAAAAATAGCCAGGCATAGGGGCACATGCCTATAGTCCCAGCTACTCAGGAGGCAGAGGCAGGAGGATTGCTTGAGCCCAGGAGTTTGAGGTTGCTGTGAGTTATGAAGAAACCACTGCACTCTAGCCAGGGCAACAGAGCAAGATTCTGTCTCCAAAAAGAAAGAAAAGAAAAGAAAGATTTAACATATGATATGTGACTTACACGATACACATGGCTTACACGACAGCTAAGATATATGCTGAGAAATGTCACTGTTAGTGTGGTTTTTAAAATGTCAAGAACTACAGTTAATTAAGATACTTAATTTCATTGTGCCCAAGGGAAAGCCAAATGCAAGTTCAACTTAACAGAAATGACTTTCTTTACTTTTATCAGGCTACCGGCATGTCTATTTGGAAGGACTGACAGAAGCATCTATATTTGTCCACATAACAATCAATGAAATCTACGGAAAGGTGAGAAAGATCACAGGGCTTAAATTCACATGCAATACTAATATGGTCCTCAACAAAGTTACTAATTTACTAACTGCATGAAAGGAATGTACGTTTGACAAACTGTTCTTTAGTAGAAAACCATAGGGAATCCCAGACAGCCCAGCTGCCCTCCCAGTCATGTTCCAATCCACCTGTGGTTGGTCCACTGTTGAGAAGTGTGTACACATCATTTCCACCCAGGGGCCCTCTCTAGGCTTAATAGAATTGAGAAAACTCTTACTCTTTCGGGCAATCATTTATTTGACTAAAACAATGAAGATATAGTTAAAGGTTGAATTTTATTTTAATCCTTTCAAAGGCCAAGCTGGCTGCAGTGGGAAATGGAATGTCTCAGATATTTCATGAATTCTCTGTGCCGACTGGGCCGTGGTCTGAGCTAGTTTTTAAGCAGGCTGCATTCATTTGGTGCTGTTGTCTTTAACTGAAAACCTAAAAATTGTAGCTGTATTTTAAAGCTACTAACAGGACTGAAAAGAAAGCGATCATGAAAATATATCCCAGCTTTCTCCTGATGCCGCTCTCTTTATTGTAGAACTCACTCGAGGTTTAACATCAATGAGTCTGTTCTCTGGTCATGATAATAATTGGAGATTTGGCCACTGGTATGAATTTTCAGGACCAGATAGGATTTGGAGGGACTGTAGGAGCATTGAAGAGGGCTTAGGAATTTCCAGTGCTTTTTACCAGAAGTTTGTGTAGGCTGGAGCCTCTCCTTTACAGGTATGCAAGTTGTCTGTGACACAGCGTCCTTATCTGTAAATGTGGGATAAAAACAGAATCTACTTCATCATATATATGCACACATACGTCTATAAAACACACACACACACACACAAGCTCTGAAAAGTAAGTTTGTGAACTCATCCTAGAAAATGTGTTACATACCTCATTGGTGAATATCACTATGGTTACCTTCAAAGTACTCTGCTTAAGAAGCCGTGCACTGATGCTAGCATGAAAGCCACCCTCCAAAGCAATTCTGGAACTTGCATTCTAGAATGGCCCTCAGAGCTATTGTTATATTACCATTCATGTCCTGAATGTCATCAAAATGTTCTCCTTTCCATATTTCCTTTACCTTTGGGGAAAGAAAAAATTCATTGCCGGCCAGATCAGGTGAGTAGGGAGGGTGTTCCAATACAGTTATTTGTTTACTAGCTGAAAACTCCCTCACAGACAGTGCTGCGTGCGCTGGTGCATTGTTGTGATGCAAGAGCCATGAGTTGTTGGCCAAGATTTTTAGTTAAGATTTTGCTAACTATTTCTCTACCCATGTTTACGTGGTCTGCTGTGCTTCTCACAGTCAGCCAAACACTTCTATACACAATTTAATGAATTTTTGCCATGTTTTCATCAGTGCTGCTCATTAATGGCTGCCCTGACCTGTCTTCATCATTGGCTCTTTCTCTCCCCTCAGAAAAATGTTTAATCCGTTGGTACATTACCATTTTCTTCACGGCATTATCCCCATAAACTTAGACTAACATGTCCCTGATTTCACTTCCAGTCTTGCCGTCTTTAATAAGAAATCTGGGAATGTTTGTTCATCGCTTTGACATTCTTGTGATTTCACACAAAAACACACAACAACAATAACGAACACTGCTCAGCAGGACACCACCACATACAGACATGAACACAGCTGTGAGACACTGATGTATCAAGGCTATAAAATCTTACCGGGTTGTTTGCCCAGTGCTTCCAATGTGAGCAAGTTCATAAACTTCATGGCCAGACCTCATATATGTAAACTCAATCTGCCTGGTACATCGCAAATGTTCCAAAATGTTGGCTAATATTAATACTAGTATTACAATCCAGTTGGCGAGGAATGTGCCATTCACCCTGATAAGTGCCTAGGTTTATTCTCAGGTCAGTCAGCAAAGGTGGGGCTGACTACCCCACTTTCTAAGATTGATGAAGTTTTACACCATGACTTTTTATGATTAGTCTGGAGTTCTGTTTGTGTTACTTGCTGGGATCTTTCCTCTGGCCTAAATAGACACAGATGTAAATGACTTAAGAATGATTCTTGAATTCTAGGAATCCCAGGTTAATAGGTAGTAACCCTAGTGTTTGTCATGGTTGAAGATAATGATAAAGTTCAGGAATTGTTTAAAACTTAAAGCAGAAATAAAATACGAAGGTGTTCTATGGGACTTCTGTTCTTGTAAAATAAATGTCCATGTGTGAGTCATACTGTTTATCACCTGGAAGGTGTATTCAGGTTGGAGGGCATATACCACAACGTGGTGGTATTGGTTGAATGCTGAATGAGCATAAGACTAAAAACCATCACAACTAGGAGAAATGGTTTACATATGCATTTTTCCTTTGTGTTTACTTCTGCCACCTTCTTGAATGAGCCCAAATTGTATTTCGTTGTGTTTTTGTTCTTTCCCTTGCAGTGGAGCCCTTTAATACTCAACCCCAGTTATACTATATTGCACTTTCTAGGAGCTACAAAGGTAGTTTCTCGGCATGGAGCTTTGTCCTTGCTGCGTCTGTTCTGTGTAGTTATGGCAGCATGCTTTCTCCGTATCACTCCATTTTCCTGCTTACCACTTTGAAACATGCGTCTGTTGCTTTATGGCGGCTGAAGTCTGTAACCAGTTTATTAACTGTGCAAACTTTCCCTACCACCTTCTCATACCTGGGTGGGAAACTTTGGGGAAAGCTTGGCCGTGAGAATGGAGGGCTGACTTCCCCCCAGGCGGGGTTGATAAGATGTGCATGATGCCCTGCAGACAGGCTGCGAGCTGCTGTTTTCTTGGTCTGAATACACTTCAGTGTCTGTAAAATTTCGTTTTATATTCATTTTTCATGGAGCTGTCATTTCCGTGGCAAGTTGCTGACACGATGGCATGTGCTTAACTTGTGGTTGGTCCTTGTGTGTCTTCAGAACAGGCAGCTCCAAGGCCTGAAGGGACTGTTCAATAAGAATCCCAGGCACAATTCTGCAGAAAACAACTCCCATTATGTGCGGAAACGATCCATCGGAGACAGAATTCTGCGGCGCACGGCCAGTGCTCCAGCCAAAGGCAGGAAAAAGAGCAAAATGGGCTTCCAAGAAATGGTAGAGATAAAGGATTCGGTGTCTGAGGCCTCGAGAGACCCTGATGGTGTCCTGAGGAGGACCACACGGAGCTTGCAAGTACGCCCTGTCTCCATGCCTGTTGACAAAAGTCTTCTGGGAGCTTTGTCACTGCCTGTTCCTGAACCAGCAAAAGGCACTGAAGGAAGAGAAAGCTCCCTGGGTAAGCTGCTCTGCGTTTCTCTAAGAATAAGCCCTCCGGGGCTGCCTTTCCATCCCTGATCACCCTTATGGCGTGGTTGACATTCCATAGTCGAAGTAGAACACACTGAAAAATAAATAACTTTTAATGCAATTTTCTAGGCCAGAAGATCCCAGACTTTAGGGTGGAAGGTGGTAGAGGAGCCCTTTCCTCCTCACCTAAAGCTTTCAGGTAACACTGACGTCTGAAAGGGACAGTGAGGGGGAGGAGGAGCCAGCAGGTGTGACATAGTGGAGCTGGGGACTCCGGGAGGCAGGAGAGAGGGAGGAGAAGCCTGTAAGATGAGAGCGGAAACATTGGTTTTCCAAGTGGGGACCAGATTTACTGACTGGAGGTTGAGGAAGATTATATCACTTTCCACACTATAGAGCACATTCCCCTGATTGGAAATGTTTATGGAGAAAGCCAGATGTGGAAGGCAAGCCGCCTTACTCACTTGAAAACTCTGCCTCCTCCAGAGGCAGCTCACTCAGGCAGTGTTTTCCTGTGGCCTCGATGCCCTGATCCTGGCAAGGCAAGAGGTGTGCCTGTGGCTGCTGCCAGGTGTGGACACCGCAGTCACAGGGCCAGGTGCCATTCACCTTTCCCCTTAATTTGAGTGTGCTGTGGCCTGACGTCAGGAACCAGACAGGCTGGAGATCACTTTGTAAATGTGCCAAAGAGCCCTTGACTTGTGTCAATGACTCCCCTCCCCTCTCCTATTCTGGGTAATTTAAGTGTCAAAATCGTGTCCATTTGATGTCCCTGGAACAAATGTGTTTTAATTAAATCAGGATCATCTCAGAGAAGTAAAAGGTGATAGCTGTTTTCTTTAGCAAAATTAGTCTTTTGTCAAACAATCTCATTTCAGTGGTCTATTTCCCCACCAATGCCATGTTGCTTGCAATTGATTTTTGTTGTAAGGTATTCTAGGGCGAAAACCCAATTTTTGAAGGAGAAAAGAGAAGTTTAAAATTTTGAAATTTTGCTAAGAGCAGTCAGTAGAAGAGATGAAATATGTGCTTTAAAAATTATTTTAAAACTCCACCTTTGGGGGAAAAGAAAAGAATAGCTTTATTTTCCCTCAAAGGCAGGGTTTTAAATAAGGTGAGTTAGAAAGACATACAGGTGCTGTTTATTTTCTATTCTCAAAAAACGGTAATATAAATTAGTTACACTTGTATATATTGAAATTATGGTAACTATGGAATAATTCACAGCTGTGCTTTGATTCAAATTATACTGCAAAAAAAGAAATTAATTATAGGAAAAAGCAGAACACAAAACTATGCTATTCTGTCTCTCTGCAAAGCTTACCGTGGCTGTCTCTGACATCATAGGGTATTTAAGCTTTTTCTTTGTCACTTTTTGGATTTTCCAAATTTTTTTGTGATGAGTGTTTTCAGTTAAGAAGATATTTAAAAAGAAGTTAAATCAATTCTTCTTTCCTGTATATTATGACTTTGAAAGCATCGCAAGACCAGGAAATAATTTGATCAAGAACTGAAAACGCCCAATATTATCTCAGCACAGTACTACTATAAGATTTTCCAAATTGCTGTGAATTTGTTGAGTTTATAACCTTCCTTACTGCCACTGCTAGGGGAGGACACAATGTGAAATTTACATATTAAAAAGGAAACTACGATTAACAAAAAACTAGATATGAGCCGTGACAGAATCGATGACCCCTTCTTTATCTTTACATTTGAAGTCAATAGATATTGATATTTTAATACATTTACTACACCTCCCAATTATTTTAGAAACGGGGTAGATTAGCTCTTTTGACAGAATGCCTTTCAAATGATATTACGTATGTTTATCTTTCCTACTAAACGTGTATAACTCTGAAAGCTTATAGTCTCTTGCTTGCAGGTGCCACAGTGCGTTGTTTAACAGAGCTGTCTTGTTCTGTTTTTATTGCCATGCTTCTGTGTAGTACAAATCTGAATAGGAAACAACCCAAGGTAATCCTCACTGTAAAAGTACGGTAACTCATTGACATGTTTTTTGACAATGAATATTACATCCTCAGCTGATGTAATAGATACTCAAAGGAAAGCTTCAGTGAAATTCCAATCAATATATTTTGCCATTTTTTCATCACACAGACACTTTGTTGCAAACCTCTGCGGTCCATGATTATCTTCTGTCACAGTGTAACAGACTCACATTCTCCATTTGTCTGTCTGAAGACAAACATGAGTGTTTGCAGGTCCGACGTAAAGTGATTCATGTCACCTAAAATGTGGTTTGTTTCCTTCAGCAGAGGACAAGGACGACAGAAGAGGGAAGGCAAGTATCGAAGACTCACGTTTTCCAAATTTGAACAAAAAGTTATCCTCCTCCTCCAGTGCTCTGCTCCACAAAGACACCCGCCAAGGGGACTCGGTTGTTTCTGCTGCCAACGCGTTTGTCGCAGGAGAACAGTGGGGGGTGCCGGGTCCTAAGGGTGGTAGAACCAAATCAAGCCTGACGAGCGATTGCCAGGAAAACCACTGCCCCAGCAAACTCCTCTCCCCAAGGCAGAATTTGGCTCTTGGTCCTACAGTTAGTCCAACACACGATCTGCGTGGTGTGAATTCCGAGGCAAAGGGGGATGTGGAGGGTGCACTGTGCGGAAGCACCCTTTCTCACAGCAGTCTGGAGATTGAGAACCTGGAAGGCAGTAGGGCGAAGGGCAGAGCTGTGACGTCCTTTTCTTTGTCAGATGTTTCTGCACTTGGTTCTGACGTACCGGACTTACATTCTACTGCGATTCTGCAGGAGAGTGAAATCTCCCATCTTATCGACAACGTCACTTTAACAAATGAGAATGAGCCAGGCAGCTCCATCTCAGCACTCATTGGCCAGGTGGATGAGACCAACGATCAGGCTAACCTCACGGTTGTTCCTCACCCTCAGGGGACCAGTGAGGTGTCGGGCCATCCTCCTTTGCCTACTCTGGGCCTAAAAATGCCCTTCAAGCCTGGTTTTTCCAAGGGAAAACCCAAGTCTTCCTTTCTGTGTTCATCTCCTGAGCTGACTGCCTTGGCAAGTCCGGACACCACCAAACATAATGCAAACACAGTCTGTGAAACTTCCTGCGTTCCAGTCTCTGACACTAAACCAGGCGATGACCTTTCCAGTAAACCCAAGATGAGGGACCTGGAGAGCAACCTGCCTGGGTGCCCAACTCCTTCCCATGGCTGGTTACCAAAAAGTCCCTCTGATGGAGAAGACCGGCCAACTCTGAAGAGCTTCAGCCCTGCCACGTCCCCGGATTTGACCCTGGAGGACGTGATAGCTGGTCCCAACTTCTGCTTCAATTCTGGAGAGAGCAGCCTTGTGGAAATTGATGGGGATTCAGAAAATCTGTCTTCTACAACCTGTGACTATAGGAGAGAGGCCACCATAGGTCTGCTTGCTTCTCCTTTAAAAGTGAAGTGCAGTCAGGATGGAGTGCCGCCCTTTCAGAGAGGTTTGAGAAACGGCTATTGTAAGGACACTCTCTATCCTTCTGTCCCTGAAATATTCAACAATATTCAAGATGTCAACACTCCAAGCATTTCTTATCTCGCCTATCAGGGTGCTGGCTTGGTGCATAACCGTTTCTCAAATTCTGATGCAAAAATGAACCAGACGGGTGTGCCCCGGCAGGCCAGTGCCCAGTGTGCACATGTCCCTGTCCCCACACAGTTGGCACATCTTCCTCTGCCTGCTCTGAAACTGCCCAGTCCCTGCAAATCCAAAAGTCTGGGGGATTTAACATCAGAGGACATCGCCTGCAATTTTGAGAGCAAGTATCAGTGTATTAGTAAGAGTTTCGTCACAACTGGCATTAGGGACAAGATAGGGGTGTCTGTGAAGACAAAGCCGTTAGAGCCTGTAGATGCTTTGACAGAGCAGCTTCGGAAGCTCGTGTCCCTTGACCAGGAGGACACCTGTCGTGTGCTGTATTCAAAGCAGGATGCCAGTCAGTTCCCCAGGGCACTGGTCCGCAAGTTGTCATCCAGAAGCCAGAGCCGAGTGCGTAACATTGCGAGCCGTGCCAAGGAGAAGCAGGAAGCCAACAAGCAGAAAGCAGCGGGCCCCGGCCTCGGGGGCGGTGTGGTTCTTAGGGACAAACCCTCAGCTCCCACCCCCGCAGTGAACCGCCACTCCACTGGCTCCTACATCGCAGGCTACCTGAGGAACACAAAGGGGGCTGGCCCCGAAGGCCGGGGCATCCCCGAGGGGGCGTGCACGGCCCTGCACTACGGCCACGTTGACCAGTTTTGTGCAGATCATTCTGTTTTGCAGACTGAGCCCAGCAGTGATGATAAACCAGAAATTTATTTTCTTTTGAGACTGTGAATTATATGAAGCTGCATTTTCATTGTTTACAAGGTGTTCTGTAGAAATGTCAGTTGTCGGTAAATAAGGTCCTTGGCTTTGGAATGGTTTTCAAGTGTAGTTTTAAATCCGTGTTTGGTCTCCCTTTGACTTCACCTGTTCCTGTTGATGCGTCTGTGTTTCCATGCGGTGACACTTCCTCCGTACCTGTGATGCTCTCGCTCCCTTGAGGTGTTGTTAACTGTATGGGTTTGCAATATGTGCATGCCTAGATGTGAAGCTTCTCAGCAGCCCGGCTACAACGTAGGTACAGTTCTCCAAGATGCCCTGTGCTGTGTCCTCAGATCACAGTCACTGATGTTGTTATTTTTATTCTCTGTTGAGTGAAGAGACTTCGCAAACAACAAAGGAATGAATTCCTTATGTGAAGCTGTTGTCCTTTTTCCTCTTTTTCCTTCTCTGTCGAGATGCCCGGATGCATTTTTATATACAACTCAGTTGAAAATGTTGAAAATTGTTCCCTCATCTGCAGAAACTTCCTGCAGAAATGCATCTTTTAGCATTTCCTTGCCCCCCGTGATGACAGTTTAAAGGGGACTGGTAGCTATTCCCCATGCCCTCTGCCCCCCACTTTGAGAATAGGCCCCACTAGTGTGAGGAAGTCGGCAAACTTCTGTATATAAGGGCAAATTGTTTTACATAAATTTTGTTACATATTTTTGCTAATGGCTTTGTATGTAACAAGATCCCAGTTGCCAAACTATTAGTTGTACTTTTGAATTTTCTGATTAAATGACAGACTGCAAATAATGGCTTTCAGAAGGAGGTACTTCTATCAGACTGTTAACAATGATGGTAGCACGAATCGAAAACTTCCCCAAAGCTTAAAAAATATATATTTTCACGTAACAAAATCCAAGTGACTAGATGATTAGAAGAAACCTTTTCCCTTCAGAACCGAGTAACTATATTTTAGTACCAACATGCATTATTTTCACTGTGAGTTCATTTTTTGTATTGCATGTGTTCAATGTTCCCCTTGCTTTTTTGTAACATTAACTGCAATGATATTCTTCCTGGGAATTCATGAAAATATAATTAAAGCAGATTTTTAAACAGTTTGTGAAGTTGTGGTTTTGTTGTTGTTGGTTTTTTTTTTACAATTAAAATGTATCTGATGACTTCGAGTAATGGACCCAGAACAGTTGGACATATTTAAATTTCCACGTGTTTGCACTACAATAGAGGCCTTCTCCCACAGAGCACCATTTTAAGCAGCAATTTATGTCTCTGAGTGTTCTCATTGTGCTCTAAAGAGTGCATTTGTAAGGTGACTTGAAAAGAAATCAAATGTAATGACATTGCATTTGGTGTTGATACTGCAAATTTAAAAATAATCTTTCCTTACTGGTGGGGGTGGTGGGTGCTTGTGGAGAAGGCTGGTGAGATGCCACATCTGGCAGATGAGACTGTCTGAGGCTTTGTGACACAGAAGAGTGGAGAGATGGCAGTCAGTTCCTGGGTCCCTTGTTCCCCAACTCTGAACTTTCCCCCAAGCTTGAGGGTCGTCCTCTTTGTGAACAGGCACCGGGAATCTTGGTGGGGACAGATGTGTTATAGTGGAAGGGAAAGAGACCCACCTCTATCCGTCTAGTGAGCCCAGGACATTTTTATCTTCTTGGGGGTTCTGAGCCCCTAAATTTCCATCCCTAGACCTTGGTTTGTTTCTGAGGTAGCATCCCGGTCTTAGAAGAGATTGACATGATGTAACGTTGTTAAAATTCACTTGAGAAAGAATAGAATTTAGTTGCTTTTTATGATTCCATGAAATATTTTTTCTAAAAAAAATCACCCAGGAGTTTACATTTGGATGTCCACCCTGCCTCAAGGTGATGGAGTCATAACGTAAATAGTTGGGGCCAAGCGCTGGGTTATCAGACCAGTCCCCCAGGTGCCCATGTGTGTCTGTCACCCATGCATATGGCATTCTACTGACAGGACTTAGGAAGAGAAGAGGAAGCAATTTCATGTGACCACTAGGGCATTGCCTAATAAGAGGGGGTAGTGACAATAAAACGTAATTTTTGATAAGGGCTGGTGATGTGCTCAGGGTTTAGCTTAGATGTCCTCAAGGCTTTGTTTGTCCAGGGGGTAGATGAGGAACTCATTCAGTGACATGAAAATCATACCAGGGAGGTCTCAGTCAAGACATTAACAGGTTTCCTGATTTTTTTTTTTTCTTTTGAGGCCCAGTGTCCAGGAAGCCCCTCATTTCTGCAGAGGCTGACCAGAGCAGCCCTGTGGAGTTTCATTTCTGCAGAGGCTGACCAGTGGAGTTTCAAGGCCTTCTCACTTGACTCCATTTCTTAGAGGCTGTGCATGTTCCAAGTCTGAGCAGTGACAGGTGGCTGGGAGAGCTGCCTGTAGCTGTAACAATATCCATAGGGGACAGAAGCAAAATTTAACAAATTCTGATCAAATCACCTTTCCACTTAAAACCTTTTACTGGTTTTTATCACCTACAGAATGAGGTTTCATAACCTTGCATACAGGGCGTCTTTGATTTGGACCTTATTCTCTTTCTGCAACCCAGTCTCCTCTGCCTTGGATCTCCTTTCCTCCTTTGCCCACTACATTCTTCAAGATATATTCTGGAGGATCCCTTTCTCCAGGGATCTTTTCCTTGATTGCCCCCAGTTCATCAAGTATTACTCAGTCCCACTTGGCAGCCTCCAGCATACCTGTGAAGCCCAGGATTCCATCCCATTGTAGAGATCTATTCACATGCCTGCCTCCTTCACTAGACCACGGACATGGCCATCCCTGTGCCGTTTTTCTGGCAAACAGTTGACTTTGAGTGGGATGTGGTAGGCAGTGATGAGAGGGCCTGGGGTGGTACATAACCTGGGTCTTATATATTGCATCTATTATACTAATTGATTTTCTTACATCCTCTCACATTCCAGATCTTGTGTGAGAACAAGATACTTTACTGCTTCCTCAGGAAGGGTGGTGCAAGGGCAGTGGTCAGTTTCAATTTCTTCCAGACAGTGGTCAGTTTCAATTTCTTCCAGAAGGAACATTGTTAAGGAAGACTAGCAGACCAAGCTGGTCGCCCCCACTGCTGCAGCTGGTCCATCCAGAATCACAGCTGATAGATTCATCCTCTCCACTGTGTGTCGCCCATTCTGGTCTCTCACTCCTTCAGTCAGTATTCAGCTGCCTCACGTTCCTTGCCTGGTGGGTTGACACAGTCCTTCATCCCTGATGGATATGAGCTCTTGGCTGTGTGTCTTTATCAGAAAAGAATTGCTATAGGTACCCATTTATAGCTGTCGTTGGTCACAAAGTCACCAAGAGGTCCTCAGTGAGCCCTGCACTCCAGGTGTACTCCTGTGCCCCACTGGGCAGCACACCCAGCTCCTCGGGCAGTCAGGGTCAATTAAACCACTCAGGACTCTGTGCAGTCATTCTTTTCTTGCCAATTCATTAGCATGAGGCCTTTGAAGTAGTTGCAATTTCCAGTTCAGTGGAACAGTGTGTTCTCTAGGAAGCATGCTCCCCAAGAGTCAGGATCACTAACCCAGCAGACACAGGGTTGTGGGGACAGAACGTGTAAATTCTACATGTGTCATTGGAAATGTGAGGGGGCTGGTTGGTCCTAGTTCCACTCCTTGGTTCTTGGAGCCTCTGCTTTTCCATCCATGTATAGGATCAGAGCCTGATACCACGGCCACTCTGCTCATGAGCCGATTGTACAAGAGTGGACTGGTTAGGGTGAGAGACTATATGACATCCAGAAAACGGGTCATCTCACCTACCTGTTGTCGAGCCTCCTTGTGGTTGGGTTTATCCTGAGGGGAGCTGTAGTAGTGGTCCATTTCTGTAGAACCCCAAGTGGGTTCAAGGTCTTCCTTTCTCCACCAATGGGTTATATGGAATTTCCCATGAGGCTGTGGGTGTGAGTTCAGGGGGTGGCCCTAGGGCAGCAGATAGGTGCTATGAAGGTCTAGGCCAGAAAGTCATGTTTTTTTGTGTACTCTGGACTAAGTGAGTCTTTTCCTAAATGTACCATTTTCTTCATACAATAGCTTTCTCCTAGGCATCACAACATTTTTCTGGAAGTTTCTATTAACATCAAGCTCCATTTGCACAGTTACTGGGTGTACTCTAGTCAGGCTCTCAGGCTTTACCTTATACATGTCCCTTGCATGCTACAGACCACTGCACTCATAAAAATTTTACTGTGGTTGCAGATCCCCTGATTGTCAGGGACTTAGTGCATACCCTTGGCATGTTATGTGTCTTACTGGAACACTCAAGTCACTTGACCTTGTTAGGTCCATTTAGAAAAATGTCAATCAATGTGGAAGGCTATCATGATGTGCCATGGTGTGTGAAGGGGACTGGGATCACCACAAAACATGCTGTTACAGAAGCAGGAGACTTAACGCTGACCCAGGGCAAGGCAGTGATGACTTATGGCTGTTGTCCCAAATGTAAAGATGAGCTGCTTTTGATTTTCCCCACTAATGAGATTCAAGAATAAAGCATTCAACAAAGTGCTACCTGCTAACTAAGTGCCAGAGGTGGGGATGATTCACTCCAATAAAAATTCGTATCTGGCCCAGAAGTTGTAATTGGTGCCAGCACCTGGTTAAATTTATACTAGACCATTAGCACACACCCACCGTGATCCATATTTTGTGTGTCGGTGTGTGTGTGTGCATGGGCAGAGGCCACATAGATGAAAAGATTTGGGATATTATGGGGATCACCATCTTTGAATCCTTTACATCTTTTTTGGTACAATTTCTAGTTCTTCCTGGGAGGAGTATTGCTTCTGATTAACCATCTTGGCTCAGAGGAAGGGTGCATTCCATTTTAAGAGGCTAACATTACTCTTTCCTATTATAGATCAGGAAACTAAGGGCCAACCTCTACATATAATCTATGCCATTAGATGTTCTGAGACTACAGAAATGACCAGGGTCATTAGCTCTGTCGGCTCTTTTGCAGAATGGACTTGAGCCCAAATCTCATTTAGAATCAATCTGGTATCCATCAGACTCCATTTCTAACTGGTGACCATGGTGGTG